ATGAGTTTGTATTTAGATCTAGGATTGCTTCTTTTGGTCGCATCAAGATATTGAGGAAGTGTCGCATAAGACTTCTCCTAATCACCAAATATTTTTATCATTGCAATTCTCTTTGCATTCCATGCTTCACTATATGATATTTCAATAAACTTCGTATCTCGCACTCTCTCAATTATGTTACCGGGAGTTAGTTCAAGCTTCTTCTTTAATTTTAGCATAATCAACCGCGCTATGTAAGAGGCAGATGCACCACTGTGATCTTGCTATAATATCGGATTGCTACATGTGTGAACAACATAGTATTTTGTGATCCTAAAATGCCCATTATGTTTCTTTTTGGCAAATGCATATAACTTCCAAGGACATGCGTAATCAGCTTCATTTCCCCCGGCCCGACCTTTCCTTTGTGTATTCATAAAACAGATTACATCATAACTTGTGCGATTGCTTTTAACTTGCTTGAACTTAACATTCTTTTTGATTGAGTAATCACGAATAGCATCAACCAATTGGTCCTTAGTCTCGAATAAATCTCCAACTTTGAAAGGGACGTTATCATCTCTTCTATGAGTTGAACTTTGGCCAATGCACATATCTTGTATTGTGGAAGAACGAATCCACTCATCATTTTCAAACTCGTCGGGGGGTGGTTCTTCGTACTCAACATATTCATTGTTAACATAAGTCTCATCACACTAATTCAGATTCTCTTCAACATCTTCAGTCACAAATTGCATGCTATCAATTGGTGCACTATCTTACTCTTCACCTTCATAGTCGTTGCTTCTTTCATCCTCTTCAATTGTTGCCCCTTTTAATGGCCTTATATTTTCATAAGGGACTTCATTGTTCATAACATTTGACGTTCCCCGAATGAATGTACACTTGGATATTAAAATTGACTCCACTCCATTTCACTCGAAGAAGAAAGAAAACCATCAGACTCAACTCCCAAATCTAACATGCGTGAGAATTCTACTTTTGATTGCGACTTGCTCAAATTAAACATAATACTCATATGATGATCGTTTGAGATCTCAACTGCGGACGTTCTATCAAAAGTTATGGGCAAATTGCATATTATTTTTAGTCGGTACTCTCGTGGGTCAATTTTCGTAACTCGGTGTAATTCCTTAATCAGGTCATAATAACTATATGATTCTGAGATCATTAACGGCGTCGTTACCCTTCCGACGTACATTGGCATATTATTCATTCCATAATTAATTTTCCACCATAAGAGCAAGCAATAAAAATCATATTGTTCAACCTATACAAAAGAATATTATATCATTTAAATGCAAAAAAAATTAAAAAAGTTTATCAGGGTATTAAATGAGAGAAGAAAACCCAAGATGAAAATAATCTCATGTAATTTTGACCAAAACCCCTAAACCCCAAAATAAAAATCCTAAACCCTAGAATTGAGCATTCTATAGCCTAGAAGTTTAATTTTAATTACAACATTCAACACACGAAGCATTCGAACCACCACAAATAGAGTGGTTGATAATAAATTTCAAACCCTAGAAATTAGATTTTGATAGAAAACCCTAGATTTTTACACGTTAAAAGAGGAGAGAAGGAAGAGAAATTACCCTAGAGATCTTAATCAAACTTTCACAATGAATTTCGGCCGCAAAATGGGGTTGGGAGAAGTGGGTAGGCAGCTGAACGAGAGAGAGACCGAAGTTGGAGAGGACAAAAAACAGGATTTTGGGGAGAAATGGTTTCAGTCAGTATATATAGGGGGGACCCACCATAAATAGTTAGTATTGGCAATCCCAACTATTTTATGACTAAGTCTCTTCTCGATTTTTGGGCTGGGGAGTCTCTGCTGAATAGTCGAGGTTGGTAACCCCAACTATTTCATGGGTTGGTTTCAGTCTCTGCTAAATGGACGGGGTTGGGAACCCCGACCATTTCGAGTTGGCGCTTCAAAATGGTCGGGGTTCCCAACCTCGACCATTTTGTGCAATGTTTAGTTGCCTAACCACGAGAGGGTTGGGGAGGGGGTCCTAACTAGTCGGGATTGGCAATCCCAACTAATTAGGATTGTGATTTTTTTTTTAAAACGACCCACTTTCTGGCCATGTAGCTTACGTGCCGAGAAAGTGAGTCGATTTTGATAAATAAGTTTGGATTGAGCCGAAATGTGAGATTAAAATTATGAATCAGTTCATTTCAAAATTTTCATCTATTATAAGAGGCTTTTGGACCAATAATTTGTATAGCTCTGGGCTAATATTAGAATCCAGCTATTGTTTGTTCCAATAATCATGGCCCGACTTATAATTTATCCACGTTTCAGCCATTAGGTCAATATTATGCCTTATCCTAGCGACCTATTGACCTCTAAACCCAAATCCCTCTCCCATACTGCCTCGCCCTTTAAAATAATAAAATAAAATAAAATGTTCATTAGCACTTAAATACCTTATAGTTTCATGTACCTCTCGCTTAAATACTCTCGATTGTCTTTGGCACCACTTATATTTATCATTTGCACTTTAATCCCTTAAGTTATGCAAACTTCTCAAAAATTCCCATGTGATATTTATATGATAATTTAAGAACTTTTTAGCTCATTATTTTTATTAAATTTATTGTCAAATCTATTTAAATTCTATTTTAAAATAGAATTAAAATAGATTTAAAATAAATTTAAGATAATTTTGATAGTAAAATTAACAAAGGATTAGTGTTAAAATGTCTAAAATTAGCATAAGAGTGTACGTGGAAACATTGTTGGCCTTTCTGTTTTGATGATGTTTTAACAAATAATTTACAACTAATATTGTTTGTTTAGTATTTGTATTTTCTTATTTATTTTAGGCAAACAATGAGCTAGAGGTTGGATAGAATTGAGCATTCACGATTATATCCATTGGAGGATGGAAGTAATATCGGTATGAAGACTTGCACATTCAACTCAAGATCCTAATTCAAGCTTCATCCGCAGTTTACCAAGTCAAGCTTATTGAAGACCTATAGCTTGGGTAAATAAGTTTAGGGTTTATATTATGTGTGTTGATACTTTAAGCTCAATCACACACACACATTTTGGTTTTTGGTTTTCAAGTTTATATAAATATAAATTTGTGAAAATGTTGAGTTTTTGTGAAAGTACCCTAATACCACTAGGAAAGAACCCTAGAGGGGGGTGAATAGGGTTTATGCTAATCTAATATGATTTATGCCAATTTAAAACTAATTAACAAATATCCTAGCAAATATGATATTTAACAATATATATATGTAAGGATAAGTAAACTAAGCAAGGGAAAACAATATAGTGGATGAAATAAACAAGATGCAATAGGCGATATAAGCAATGAGCACAAGTATAAATGAACGCCAATGCAAGCTCAAACACAATCAAATGATCACGGAGTTCGGACCTTCCGTCCTACGTCTCCGCTCCTCACTCTCGGGGAGAAATTCACTACACAACCGGGTTTTTAACGCTCACCCGAATAACGTTTTACACCTCATAACTCGGTTTTCTAGCTCACCAAAAACTTTACAATCACTCACAATGTAAACACACTAACTACCACATCAAGTGTTGGTCTCTAGTCCGTGTCTCCCTCAAGTGTTAGAAATTACAACATCTCTAGGTATTATCACCTACCCCACTCCTCTTGGGACGATCCCGTCTCTCACCACACACTCCTCTTGGTGTACTAGTGTAATACAAAGTGAATTTCACAATTTAGGCACTCAACAAATAAATTGTTCTCTATAATGGATGAGAACATAATGTAAGCTCACACTCAATGTCACACAAACCCCACAACCCAAATTATACAATGTATGAAAATACAATAAGCTCAATAGGTTGTGTGTGAACAAAGAGATAAATAAATCAAAACTAAACTCAATATAAATCTAGCTTATGGAAATTAAGTTCAAACATATAAATAGCTAAAAATAGAGTTTAGAAAAATTTCTCTATAGATCAAGAGAAAGAGGGAGAAGAGTTGGATGCTCAAACACAATAGATGATCTCCACTTGCTCTTGTGAAATTCTCTTCACAAACAAAAATCTTAAACACTCTTTTAAACAAACTAAAACAAACTTTAAACCCTTGTTAAACATGTTTAAAACATTCTTGGTTGTTACAATAGAACTGGGTATAAGGGGGTATTTATAGGAAACCCCAAAGATCAAGAAACCCCAGCAAAAAGATCAAAAAACCAAAACATGACAAAGGCTAAAAAAACTAGTCGTTATGCCATCAGTCGACTGACGGCTTCCATCAGTCGACTGATGAGCTAACCGTTAGAGGTATTTTTTAGCTCATCAGTCGACTGACGACCTTATCAGTCGACTGATGATCTCATCAGTCGACTGGTCAGTCGACCAAAATAAAATAGAAACTATTTGTTGTTCCAGGTGATTTCTTCAGTCGACACATCAGTCGACTGATGTCATCAGTCGACTGACCAGTCGACTGATAACAGGTTATTAGCCTGTTTTGAAACAGAAATCTAATTTTCAAACATCTTTTAAAAATAGCAAATAAAATCAAAAATATATAAAACTTTGGGAAATGATTGTAAACATGATAATATACATGTTACAAAAACTGGTTTTTAAAAAACACCTCCCAAAAGAGAAATCTCTTCATTTTACAAAATAGTCCAAAATATGTAAATGAAAAACACTTTCACTACCACATAATTGATCTACTGCAACGGTTAAGGCGCAACGGTTTTAACTGTTGCGTTAGATATCTATCGTAACGGTTTTTAGAGTGTAATACAACATTTAATATAAAATGTTACCATAACTCTAATAATTGTTTCTGAGCTTAATAATTAATTGATAGTGGCCTTTGAGCTTGAGTAAAGCCCACTGTCTGTTTGACCGACACCGCTTAAAAACCGAACCAAACTTAAAAAAAGGAAATCTCTCACTCTCTCCCAGATCCCTAAAATCACCGCTGGCCATGGCAAAACTCCCTAAAATCGCCGTGGCCAAAACTCCCTCGTCGCGTTTTCAGTCCTCGCCGGAGTCCGTTACTTTCGTCGCCGTTTTCATCTCGTTGGTTTCATCGTCGAGCTACTCTCGTTGCTCCAGAAATCGAGCCCAATCTGTAACCGGAGCTTTCTAGGGTTTGCTCCGCCTATCTCTTCTCACGATATTTTGATTTCTCAATTCGCACTACCGCTTTCTGAGTTCAAATTGAATTTTCCAGCGTTAAATTTAGTGATTTCTATGATTGTGTGTTTATAAGAGATTGGATTTTCTCCTTCTAACATTTATCTGTTGGGCATGAACTCTCCTAGGTATCTTACATATTTGGAGTTCTTTGTTGATTCGTTGATTTCAGTTAGCCTCTTTGTTTCCTTTGTGTGTGAGTTTAGCTAGGCGTAAGTTATGCTGGCTTGATGGGCAAGCTCATCTGTTTATCCCAACAATGTATATATCAAAGAAGTTACTAAATTGCTATTTCATAATTTACTATTCTTGTTCAGTTAAGATTATACAGCCTTATATATATCCCATATATTACACATTAATTTACACCTTCTATTTTAATCTTACTTGGGCCAACATGGGTCAAATTAACGTAATCCACCCAAATTGTATTTTCTATTCAATTTATTCAAATGAAAGAAATTGAACATTGTTTCTCTATGTATATGATTGAGATTTTTTGTTTGACGCTTGTCTTGTTTTACTTGGCGGTAACATTTATGTAGTTCTCTCTCAGTTCATATGCAAGAGAAAAGATTATCTGTTAATCATCTTGTATATAAGAAAACCTTATGGATAATGTTTTTGATCATGATTTACTGGAATGCTGGTAGTACTCTTAAAATATGCTATAGCAGCAAAATGAAGACTTAAGAAGAATACCCAAAAAAAAAGTTTGGTTAGTAAGTTTGATGATGTATGATCATTAGAAGGGACTTTCAAAGATTTAAATTTGCTAATAGTGTTGTGTTTAACTGCTGTTATGCTCATAAAGTAGATTAAATCTATCAACTTACCTACTTATTTTAGACATCTTCCATGTCTACGGAAATTTTGAGGCAAAACTTCATGGTTTCATTAGCTTAAGCTGTATGAACAAAAATAAAAAGTTAGTCTTAAGGATTTATAAAATGGTACCTTTTTCTGTTAGGTCATCTCCGCTATGAATCTGACATTACCTCAATAGAGGACTGATTTCAGATGGACTCTGGTTATGTAACTTTAGTGACATTGTTTTAGGGCAAAGATTGTTGAACTACAATAATAGTTGCTAACATCATGAATGTGTTTGAATTGATGTCATAGCTCTAATAATTGTTTCTGGCTCAATAATTGTTAGTGGTGGCAACTTAATTTTCATATATTCTAGTTGATCATTAACCTCCTTTTTAATTTGTTAAGGAAGAGATGTCTTATTACAATGATGGGTCTATTGTTTTTAGTAAGTGGGAAGTCAGAACATTATAAGTATTGCAAAATTGTCCAAACATGTAAAAACTTAAGTTTATTAGAGTATCCTTGAATCATTAGTTGAAAAAACTGAAATGATCTGTTTCAAATAACTAAAATAATCTATACCCATCAGTATGATTGGCAATGTCGAACTAAAATTTGATTTAACTCAATAATTTGTCAGTTATGGATTCTCTTTGGGGTTGTCATAAAGATTTATAATATTGCTTCATTAAAACACATTTTGTGAGTCTAATACAGCAAATGTCATACTGTATACTTTTTTTTAATAATCTTCAGAATAGTACGGTTTATTGTTGTATCAGTAGAATGTTGAAACTGTTTGTATCAGTTTATTCTTTTTGCGAGGATTGATAGTCATGTGAACGTCTGGACTTGTTGGATCAAGAAAGATAATAAGATGGCAAAGGTGAGGAAACATATTTATTTGTATTGAAAAGAGTTCATACTTCATAATTTATATGCGTAGCTGGCTAATTGAATCTTCTTAGTGTTCAGGGTTCAACCTGTGCCTTATCACTTGCAGATCGCTGATTTAATTTTGCAGTGAGTGCAAATAATTGTGTTTGATTACCGTCGTCCTTTGAAAGACTCAGAGTAATCCAAGCTATAACATTCCCACCTATATTTGCACTAAATGCAGGACACTTAAAAAAAGTTGATATTGTTTGCTGTTTGTTTTGGTCTCTTTTGATAGCGCCACCTCTTATGTACATCATCAGCCTTGTGAGGGAGAGTGGATGTGTTTATATCCTTTTGTCCCTAAGGTCCCTAAGGTTATCAATTTTGTAGTTGTGCCTCCACCATAGGGGCTTTTGATTCTCATGGCACTAGTGAAGCTCAGTCTAGTATCATTACTGTCTTGTACATCAAATGATGCCCATTTGTCGGTTTATTGTTGTATCAGTAGAATGTTTGAACTGTTGTATCAGTTTATTCTTTTTTGCGAGGGATTGGATAGTCATGTGACGTCTGGACTTGTTGGATCAAGAAAGATAATAAGATGCAAAGGTGAGGAAACATATTTATTTGTATTGAAAAGAGTTCATACTTCATAATTTATATGCGTAGCTGCTAATTGAATCTTCTTAGTGTTCAGGGTTCAACCTGTGCCTTATCACTTGCAGACCTGGATTTATTTTGCAGTGAGTGCAAATAATGTGTTTGATTACCTCGTCCTTTGTAAGCTCAAGAGTAATCCAAGCTAAACATTCCCACCTATATTTGCACTGAGTACGAATAGATATATTAAACTAAAGCCTGTGGACTGTAGCTCTAAGATCATCAGTTCTGACAAATTATCATTGATGTGATCTCCTATTTGTAATTTCTCGCTGGTGTTGCTATGCTAGTTGGATGGTTACCGAAGGTGTTGAGGTTTGGAATCTCTGGATGATTATTAAAGGTGTTAGCTCCAGGCTCAATCAACAAATGTTGTCAATTTAACAGTTCTATTGTACCTCCTGGTGAATAGAGAATCACCACAAGCCTCATAGTTTTGGCAGCCTAATTCATGCTGCAAAAGGAGATGGGCATGAAGTGAGTAAGGAACATTTATAAGCTTAAAGTAGATGAGAAGGAGGTTAGCTACCAAGCGCACAATGCTTAAAAAGCAAAAATCATAAGATCAAATACTATTGGTTGCTTAATTTTGAATTCAGTTTGTTATTTCTTGCAAGTTTCCAAATTAGACGGAGGCTATGTTAACGCGTTTGAATAATATGATATTGGTCAAATCTGTTTGAAGTATTATTAATTAGTTTAAAGTAATTTTGTTTTATAATCTTTATTGTGTGATTCAGAACTCTCTTATTAGTGAACATCTTCCCTTTCGACATTACTCCCATCAGGACATTTTTTTGATAATCTAGCAGGTACACTACTATTAGTAATTTACCTTTGTACAAAGGATGTCAGTCTCCTCGATCTTCACAAGGCTGAAAATGATTCTTATCTCCTGCTCGGTAGGTAGAAAAGGAACGAAGCATGTGAAGCCTAATTTTTTTCTTAAAAGAATGTCCTAGGCTGGTTCTATTCTCTTTCAGCGGTTTAAGATACGCCTAATTGCTGGGAACAAATGCACTAATAAGTGGACAATATATTGTCTTCAGATCTTCTTGATGTGGACATGAGCCATTGAAAACTGTTGGACTGTTTATCTTCTTTAACTTGTAGGCTTGTTCAAATACTTAGGGATTAACTAAAGTGACGTTCAATGTGCCTTTTGTACCAATCGACTAGACCTTCTAATTCATCTATTGCCACTTACTTGAAGACAAGGGAGTATATATTTACCCGTTGATAGAACCTTCTATTCAAATACTCTTTTTCTAGTCATACTTACTAATCAAAGGCTTCCTGGTGAGGCATTTACACCATACACTTTTTGAGATTTTACATTATTAGATCCATATGTATTATATTGTTTAGATTGTAAGATTCAAATTGTGTAATGATGTTGGATTTTAGGATCCAGCCCATTGTGAACAGGTTTTTCTGAGTGTTGTAAAAACTGTAAAAGGGATCATGATATCTTTCACCTTGGAATTTCCAATGTTATATTTCAAGTTTAGTTTGTACTTCTGGATGCTGACCATGACTTATCTTTTTGCAGAGGTCCACGATGGGTAAGTGTGAACTTAGCTTACTTTCAAGTTTGCTTACACGATTGAAAGTCAACTTAGCTTTCCTCTGTCTAGGAATGCGAATGAGTCACTGAAATGCAACATATACTTGCCTCAGCTCTGATTTGTCAAACTAGTATCTATTAGAATTTTGATGCATCTCAATAACTGCTTCGTGTCAACTGCAGGTAAGATCTGCAACCCTGGACACATGGCTTCCAGAGCAGGTTGCATTTATTCAATGTAATTCTTTGCACCTTTTAGCTACTTCAAATTACATGTAGTATGCGATATGTTTTTATACTCGTGCTTATTGTATAGACATTTGTATTGGCACATGTTTGGGGCGGCTGATTTGTTTTAATTGGCACTGGTCATTCACAGCAATGGGAAATGAAAAGGCAAATAGCTATTGGGAAGCAGAACTCCTCCAAACTATGACAGAGTTGGAATAGAGAACTTCATTCGTGCAAAGTACGCTTGCTTCTAATTCTAATTTTCTTGTACTGTGATTCTTCACAGTTCTACTTAAGATTTGTATAGCTGGATGCGGTAGCCTGAAAAATAGTTCAATCGCCAAATATGAAGATAAAAGATGGATACCTAGAAATTCTACTGCAAGATCACATTTACAGTATGGAGAAGAGAAGGTTTCTGAATATAAGGAAAAGTCTGATGATAGGCGTGCACAAGGTTCTATTAATAAAGCAGATTCTCCTGGGGAGCACAAAAGCCCTGAGCAACAGGGTCCAAAGAAAACCAGCCTAGTAGTCCCAAAGTTACCTACTCCGGTAAGACATGTACGATCTTGTTTATTGTCTATAGTTTTGTTTTACACTTCTAGTCTAGAATCTTAGGAAATGTGAGAATTCTTCTGAGGTTTTGCTGTTTCTAAACTGGTCATGCCTGGATCTAATATGAAAAAAGAACAAAAAAATCTGGTCTATTTTATATTTTCATATTCTCTTTTATATTTTCATTTGCAATATTGTTTGATACGGATGTGCAGGCATTTTACCTTAACTCATGATTATGCCCTGTTCATGAAATATGATCATTCACGTTCATGAATGTTGTTCTTTTTAAGTAAAGCAAGGTAGTGCGTCTTAATCAGTTTTTATTGTTAATTTGCGGTTGAAACTGCCAGGTGTTAATCTTTGCTTGTTCATCCTGTATTCTATATATGTTTCCTTAAAATTTATGTTCCCAGCATCTACCAAAGGAAATCCTCTTGAATTGAAGAAACCAGTTATTCATAATAGTGATACAATGTCTGTATATTGTTAACATATTTTGTGAGGCAACTGGTCCTATCTCTTATTTAGCTTGTCAAGCAGTTTACACGAGTCTTTTCCTGCTAGTTCATAGAAGGACAATACTATTATTTCAATATGAAGCTAAGAAAATGTATTGATAGAAAAAGTAAGTTTCATGCGTCACAGTGGCTTTAAGAATTTACGAAGGTTGGTGTTATCTAATGGTTACAAGAATCCTGAGGTTTTGCTTCTTTTCAATATCATTCTGGTAGAGCAGACATTGTATACGATGCACTTAGTAGAGCACCAAGCGCAATGAGGCTCACAAAGTAGGAGTTAATTGCAGAGATCAAAAGTCATGGCATTGAGGTTATTCTACAAAATAGCTATGCATAAATGATGAATACGTAAGTACGACCATCGTTGATTGACCATACTAAGGAATAATAATTGCATGATGAGGAGCTCATCAAGGTCAAGAAGAGAGTATTTGAAGGAAAGAGAAAAGGAATCTAGATTCATTAAGATGATTCTTTGAGAAAGGTGACCATTTGTGTGTTCCACTAGGTGACGTTCATACAAAATTGCTCACTGAAACTCATTGTTCAATGCTGATATTATTGCAACCATTGCTGATATTGGAATAAAAGTACGTAGGAGCACTATACTAAGGATTTTGTGATAGCTTTTCCTAGGAGCTAGAAGCAAAATAATGCAGTTTTGGCTGATTGTTGATCGACTTACTAAGAGCACTTATTCTGTTCCTTTTCAAGTTAGACAAATTACTGAATGGTTAGTGAAACATTATATTCAACAAATAGTATGGCTTTATGGAGTGTCAATTTTCATTGTTTTAAATCAAGATACTCAATTTGTTTCTTATTTTGGGGGCACTAGATTGAAATTTAGTATTGCTTATCATTCGCAAAAAGATAAATAATTGGAGTGAACAATTCATATCTTGGAAGACATGCTTCGAGTCTGTTAGATTTTAGAGTTTCGTGGGATGATTAATTGCATTTTGTAAAGTTCTCTTATAACAACAATCATTAGGCTAGCATCAAGATATCGCCATTTGAGGCATTGTATTAGAGAAAGTATAGACCACTGTTATGTTAGGATGAAGTAGAAGAGAGGAAGTTATCAGGTCCCAAGCTCACCTGCTTGTCTAAGGAGAAGATTAATATGGTTCAAAAGCATCTCAAGATAGCTTTGCATAGATATTGTAGTTGGGCAGATATCGGTAGAAGACCTCTAAAATTTAAAGTTGGAGATCACATGTTTTCCAGAATTTCATCGACTCATAGAGTTATTCATTTTCATACGCATGAGAAGTTGACCCATGTTACATTGGACCATTTGATAGTATAAAATGAGCAGACAAGTCCATGAACATGTTAGCCTTGTCATCATATTCATAAAGCATGCATAATGTACACCACTTTAACTACCACATAATTGATCTATTGCAGCGGTTAAGTTGCAACGGTTTTAACTGTTGCGTTAGATATCTATCGTAACAGTTTACAATAAGATTGTCTAGGTAATTGAATACTATAATTATTTTGACGTAGGAAACCAAGAACAGCTTCGATTGAGCAGTTGCAATAGCTTGATTAAAACCGTTGCGATAGCTCGATCAAAACCGTTGCGATAGCTCGATCCAAACCGTTGCGATAGCTCGATCCAAACTGTTGCGATAGCTCAATCCAAACTGTTGCGTTAGGTCTTTTAAAACTGTTGCAATAGCTCCAACTGTCGCCGTAGTTTTATCAAAACCATACTTATAGCCTACTAAAACCGTTGCTTTAGGTCTTTTAAAACTGTTGCAATAGCTCCAACTGTTGTCGTAGATCTATCAAAACCATAGCTTTAGTCTACTAAAATCGTTGCGTTAGGTCTTTTAAAACCGTTGTAATATCTAAAAAAATCGCTGCAGTAGCTTGAAAACCGTCGCAATAGCTCAATCAAAACTGCTGCAATAGCTTAAAAACCGTCACAATAGCTCAATCAAAACCGTTGTAATGGCTTAAAAACCGCTTACCTTTTAAAACCGTTGCGTTAGATGCGGGGGCAACGGTTCAAAAAACCGTTGCAATAGAGTTCAAAACCGTTATGGTAGAGCTAGGGCAACGGCAGCATATGAGGCGGGTTGAGAACCGTCGCACTTGCTCAAGGGCGACGGTTCCATGGCTAGCGCAACGGTTTTGAACCGTTGCGTTAGAGAAAATATGTGGTAGTGTTTTTTTTGACATTGGACATAAACCATGTTTTGAAACTTTATAAACTGATTTTATAGACCTAATAAAAGGTGTATGTTATGATTGTTAAGTCTATAAACTAATAACTCAATATTATGCAAAAATGAGGTTTTGCACAATATGTATTTAACAAATATGAAACATGTATATATATGTAAACAATAATATAGGTTTCATATTTATATAAACTTGTAAACTATAAAACCAAAACTTGTGTGTGTGTGTGTGTGTGTGTATATATATATATATATATATATATATATATATATATATATATATATATATATATATATATATATATATATATATATATATATATATATATATATATATATATATATATATATATATATAGAAACCAAATAAAATGTATGTGTATATGATATTGAGCTTAGAGTGTATATGATATTGAGCTTAGAGTACTTAACACACATAATATAAAACCTAAACTAAATTACCCAAGCTTGTGATTTTCAACGAAGCTCTATCTTGGTACACTTGCGGATGAAGGTTGAACTTGGATCTTCAACTTGAATTGCAATACTTTAACCACTATTTCGCCAACCTCCATTGGATATGATCGTGAATGCTTGAGTCCATCCATCCTCCAACATTGTTGTTTGTCTAGAATACCTAATAAGAAACACAAACACTAGACAAACAACATTAGGAATTGTTTGTAATCATCAAAACAAGATTAGAAGATGTAAGCTCATAACATGAGACCTAACATTTTATTTATGGACTTAACAATCATTATTTACATCGTTTATTAAGTCTATAAAATCATTTGATAAAGTTTCAAAAGTTTGTTTAAGTCAAAATGATAAAAACAAGTGTTTTGTATTTTCATGTTTTGGACTAGTTTTGAAAAACAATGATATTTTACAAATGGAAAGTGCAATTCTAAAAAAAAATTTTGTAACATGTTCATTTGCATGTTTACAATCATTTCCCAAATTTATATATTTTTTGGAATTTATTTTCTATTTTTAAAGGCACTTCAAAGATCAGATTTTCTGTTTTAATCAAGCTGATATTGTGTTATCAGTCGACTGATGAAAGTGTTCAGTCGACAGATGAAAACGCCTGGAATCATCATTTGTTTCTGTTTCTTATTAAGTCGACTGGCGAGGTCATCGGTCGACTGACGAGTTCATCAGTCGACTGATGAGGTGTTTGCTGGCATGTAACGGTCAGCTCATCAGTCGACTGATAAACAGTATCAGTCGACCGACGGCCTCATAACGGCTAATTTTCTAGTTTGCCGAGTTTTTGTTTTTGTTTTTGTCTTTTTGCTGGGTTTTCTTGGTTTTTGGGCTTTATATTATGATCCTATATATACCCCTTTCCCTCTAACATTCTAAAAAAAATAAAAGAAAGTTTTAAACAAGTTTAAGAGGGTTTTAAGTTTATTTTAGTGTTTGTTTCAAGAGTTTATTTGTGAAGAAAATTTCACAAGAGCTTGAGGAGATCATCCATTGGTGTTTGAGCATTCAACTCTTCTCCCTCTCTCTCTCTTGTCATCTAGAGAAGTTTTTCTAAACTCTTATCTAGCTATTTATATGTTTGATTTTTATTTCTTTAAGCTAGAGTTTATATTGAGTTTAGTTTGATTTTGATTTGTACTCATTGTTCACACACAACCTATTGAGCTTATTGTATTTGCATACATAGTATATATTGGGGTTGTGGGATTGTGACATTGAGAGTGAGCCTTAATTGAGTTCTCATCTATAGTAGAGAATAAAAGTTTGTATTTGAGCATTTATTGTGAGGATACACTTTGTAATACATTTATACACTAAGAGGAGTGTGTGGTGAGAGACGGGATCGTCCCAAGAAGAGTGGCGTCGGTAGTAAAGCCTAGAGAGATGTTGTAAATCCGAGCACTTGAGGGAGACACGGGCTAGAAACCAACACTTAGAAGGTGTAGAGTGGGATTATAAGAGTGTTG